CAATGTTCATACTATCCATCCTAAATAGTATGTGAGATTAGAATAAGTGTGCCCCAAAGCATAGTATGTTGAAAAGGGTGTTGCCAAAAGTCCCTGGATGGTCTACTATTTCAGGTGGATTTTTGAAGTGTGGATCCGTGCACACTCTAATGGCTAATATTACCCACAATCCATTGCGCTTTGACGAATGATTCGGTTGAGAACTAAATAAGCATTAAAAAACTACAAACATGGTGGATGCGCGTGACCGACAGTTAAGTTGAGAGGTTTAGATAAAGTGGTTTGAGTTACTAATAATCAACATTTAACCTGGTAAAAAATATTTATTTAATGTTATCTGTGTTATATTTCATCTGCAACAACAGTGTGAACTTTTATAAACATCCATTTGTTTGTTAAGTTTTAAATGCATCATTATGCAGAAAATATGAGCAGAGTTCTCTGCATGAAGACCCGAGGCTAGCAGATCACTGACGTCATCAGAGAAGGTCCGTCATTTCAGAGGTGAGGTGCATTTTCAGATTTGGATTAAAAATTATGGAGGCAAACCATTTTTTTTGTGGATTGACTTGCACGTATGAATTGATCAAAAATAGCAGTGTGCGCTAACAAAATAAATATAGTAAATTTTGATTTCATGCGTACTTTAATAAAAGTCACGGGGCAGCGCTGACAAGTTTCTGTGTGTGTGCAGCACGATCTGCTCTCTCTCTCTCTGTGCGTCAATTACAGCAGCGCATTAATATAACTGACTTGGAACTAACTGTGCATTAAACGGTTTTAATGCATACCTGCCAGCCAATCAGAATCGAGTATTCAGACAGACCGTGGTAAAAATGTAGATATATAGTAGAGGTTTCAAAGCTAGTCTAAGCAAACACTCACATTTGAGTCAGAGAGAAAGACGAGATACTGATTCTAGTCTGCTGTGGAATCAGGATCAGAAATTAAGGCTCAGGGCAAAAATTCCACCAAAAGTTACAGAAATGCCCCATGGTGAATTACTCCATTTTCTAAAATTTTATATATATTATATAATATTTCATCCTATGTACATCCTGGGTTTAGTATTAAAAAAATACATAAATCAATTATTTAAAGTGTATTCTAGCATTTATTGGGTTAAGATGCCTTATGGACTACTCATTCCTTAATTTATTTTATATTTGATATGAATTAGAATTATGGAACTTGATGCTGAGTATTTTTATTAGGTTAGAAATAAAATGCCCGTATTAAAGGCTAAAATTAATTAATTAATTAATTCCAGGGGCAAATTGGAAAAAGAAAATGACATTGCCCATTTATTAAAAAGTTTCTGACACTGTCATGACTGAACTTACTGTGTGAATTTAGTCTATGCAGATATTAAATACATAAGTTAGATCAGTGTGTAAATTGTCAAACACAGAGACAGAACACATAGAAGACAGTATCCCCCCTGATTCAAAGGCATATTGTTCCTGTTAATGAAAAGACATACTGCAAGTCATGTACTTTAGTACTGAGTGTGGCTACTTATGATTGTGTTTCATATCTATGGTTGCTCTAAAGCATGAATGTGCTAAATATCTTCTTTGTCCAAATTCTTTGTGTCCTGTTGAAATATGTGCATATAAAATATTTCCCTGTGAAATAGCAGTGTGCCGTATGGAATTAATTAAATATTGACCTCTATGCATTCAACTAATTTCTACGCTGCATTACTGGTTGCTTTTTTGAGTGTTACCTCTGATTCATTATGGTTTGATCCAAGAAGGGGCAGAATTGGCATTGAGGTCCTGCTGTAGCAGTGGCCCTTCCGGCTTGAACCACTCATCTGCTGGGGGGGAGACTGGGTTGGCGCCTGCAGCTTCTAGTGTTTTTGTGGGTGGGGGGTTGTAGGATTTGGTTGTGTAGAGGGGTGTATTTGGAATACGTGGAGGTTGGTGGAAAGGTGCAGGTGCAGAAAGGAATAGTATAGAAGGAAAGGCAGTAGATGTCAATCAAGCCGTTGCAACAACAAAAAAAAAGAGAAAAAAAGAAATGATACAAGAGGATGTGACGCGAAGTGTGTGAGGGGCGGAAAATAAGGAGAAAAAAGGCCAAGATGAGGGGATGGATGGAGGGAAAGGGACATGGGCAGAGACAAGCCAGAGTGGGAGGCCAGGAAGAGAAAGAGAATGAAGTAATAAATCAATGAATGACAGCAAGAAAGAGCAAAGGCAAGCCAGATAGATAGATAGACATAAAGAGAGAGAGATACAACTAGACAGAGAGACAAACAGGAATAACACAAAAAGGTGTTATTCATAATTGAGTCAGGAATTTCAGTAAAATTCCTGAATTTGTACTGAATCTGAATTTAGGTAGAAACAGGAATCAGAATTGCAGTATTGCATTTAAATGTAAGAAAGTAGAATTAAATAAAAGCCTTGACATTTTATAAAAATATTTAATAAATTAGCCAAGCTGGAAGAACACTTCTCCCAGAATGCATTATCTGTGTCTTTCTGATTCAAATTCCAATTTAACTTCCTCTGGGATGTGGCCAATTAAATTCAAACTCTTGAATTGAAAGCACCATTTCTTTAATTCAGAATTTTGCACAACCCAGACAGATAGACAGACTGACAGAACGATAGAGCATTTGAAGAGCTTGTTGGCCAGACGCAGTGAATTTGTTTGATATATCTGTTAATAATTTAACTTGTGCTAGGATTATTTTCACTGAAAAGTCCTGATGTTATCAAAGATTAATCACATTTAACAAAGATATGAATGGAATTATTACTGCGTGTGTGGTAAGAGCTTTTCTAATGATGAGCGGCCTTCAGAATGATTGATGTGGTGAATTATGAGGAGAGATGCAAGAGGAGAAGGCAGGGAGCTATGCTGTTAGTATGGATATGGGAGAGTCTGTTTTAATGCGTATACCTCTGATGTACTTTGTGTCAGTGTCAGTGCATGTATATTTGTGTATAAAAATATATATTGCTACAATCAATGTGTCTTTGCCCTAATACACAATAATAAGAATTTGAACATACAACTTACCTTTCCTGAGCCTGTTCTTTGTGATGCACACTGAAAGTATGAGTTTAATAATGTGTCCATTTGTGGGTGCTGCATACCTTTCCTGACATTGCTGTCTGTGGTGCGGAACTCTCCGGTACTGAGAAGGAAGCAGGCCCTATCGTGGGGGAAACGTTCACGCCCTGTGCATGTCCCCAACCCACTGGTGGCCGGACTCCTGTCATCTGGCCCTAGCACCTGATCTATGGTGGGACAGTCCTCATTAGCCAGAGCTGCGTTTGCAGCATCTCCATTCTGTTTTGAGTCTGACAGGAAGAAAAAAAGAAAGAAAGAAAATTACTATTAGTGGTACTGTGATAATAGAGACAGTCACAGTAACATGAAAAGCCAGGGAAGAGGGAAGAAAAAAGTCTGGGATGAATAAAAAGGAGCAAAAATAGAGATGCGCTACAAAAAGAGCAGCATCACTTGATTAAAATGGTGCAGGGGAACTCAGAACATCACACACACACAAACACACACAACATGCACAACATGAATGAGTATGCCTGAAAGAGTGAGATGTGCACACACTCAAACAAAGAAGCTGCAGGGGCACTTGTTCTTATAGCTTCCGACACAGCTGTCAAATCTAATCTGACGTGAGTTACCGTTCAACAATTTACAGAAATAAACCAGGGGCAAAGCCTGCTACAGACATGAAGAGAGACAGAAAGAAAAAGGAGGATGGGGAGGCGAGGGAGAAGATGACATAGAGACCCATTATGCAATTGGACCTCATTGGAAGAAATTAAAAATATTTATCTGTGAAGACGGTAGTCCATATGACCATGAAATCTGGGAAGATGATGATCACCTTCACAGTGGAATAGGGACAAAGGGTGATGAATGGATGACACAAAAGTCTATAGCAAAGGTCATGACATATGGTTGACTACACCAGATATAACTCACTTTCCTGACAGCCATTAAATGACAATCACTTAAGAGATAATAAAAGTACTTATAATACAATTAAAAAAAACATTTATTCACCCTAGTTTCCTTAAAAATCCACTTGGATTTATTTTATCCGTGGAACACTAAAGGAGAAATCTAGCACAATGTTAAGCTGCTCTTTTCATACAAGAAGTAAATTGAAACCATGACTGGATTTTGAGTGAATAATGAGTAAAGTTATAGGCATACCTGTTCTTCACATAAAGCCATTCTATTGCTTCAGGAAATTTCTTGAATAGACGTGTTATTTTATGGTGCAATGTTTTTGGGTTTTTTTGCCATTTTTTGACCCCATTCAATTTCACTGTATAAAATGGAGCAGCTCAGACAAAACATCTCCTTGTGTTTTCCACTGACAAAATATAATCATACGGGTTTGTAATTTCGGGTGAACCATTTTAAAACCTTCAGCATAAAATCAAGCTACAGAATCAGAGCACCTCTCACGCAAGCCAAAAAAAACCCCCAACACACTCACACATGGGGACGGAGGACAAACAAATGACTTTGTTAGAGGTTTCATACTTTTAGTTTTACACTACTTAATAAAACTTTGTTAACAGTACACATGATGGATATGATGCCAGTATTGTAGGTGTCAAGGGCTTGTAGGATTTGAAGTTACAGGAGGGCACATGTACTAAAGCGTTTCTTCACAGCAAGCGTCTCAGTATGTTTATGCTCCCTTTTATTTCCTTGGAAACTTCCAGCTGTGAGAACTCCATGGAAGAGCAAAACAAAGATGAGCAGAGAAATACAGCTGTCATCCACTCGAGGCTGCTGGTTCCAAAAATGTTACTTTTTAAGAAAAACGATCCGAAGTAATCCTATTTATAAGGATGCAATGTCATCTGTCATAATCTGTATCTTTGGTCTTGAAATCAGCAAAAAATCGGCAGAGATGTGGCTGTAAGCGGGATGCTGTTGATTTGAAACCTTTTGCTTGTATTATAGATCAAATATAGCACATGCTAATCTGAGGGGCCGTGACTAATCTGCCTCATGTTAATCTTAGCATGGGGTGTCCATATCTGTGTTCTGCACAGTAATGACAGACGGAGCTCTCTCGGCTGCATAAACTCACAGGCTCAACCTGACTGACACCTTCACATGCAAAAACTGTGAAAAAAGATGTTCTTAAACAGTATTTTGATCTTGTTTTACTGTAAATCATCCTTACAACAAGAACAACTTTACTTGAGAAGCAAAATTAAGATGAGTATATATTAAGATTAAGATTCAATATATATCCAGAAAAAAATATTTGTAAAAACCCATATATATATATATATATATATATATATTTAAAAAAATGGAAAGTTTCCATGAGTCTACCAAACATGAATGTGTATTTACAGAGGTCACTGAGGCATAGCAATGACCTTCTGATTTATTTGAGTTGCCTTCATAAAGCAAACTCATGTATCCTTTACTTAGTGCATCAATCCTTTTCAACAAAAAAAATTCTGGATATATACATAATAATATAGTGATTAGGAAAATGTGTTTCTGCAGTGAGTGCGCAAATAAACTGCACACACAAATAGTACTGTAAGCTCCATGCCAATCATCTATCAAAAGCTGTTTGCTAGTTTCAGGATCATACTTCCTGCTCTTCTGATTGGGTGGGATGCTTTCTGGTAGTCTAAGAAGCTGATTGGAATGCATGAAGCATAATCCTGCTATAATTTTAATAACGTTCCTGTTCTCAGTCAAACTCGGCCGTGACAGCATAGTTTCACATATTACTACTCTCAAATACTTGTGTGTGTGTGTAGACATTACACAAGATTATATAAAAGACCCAGTTTAGGCGATGACAGTTCAATATAAAAAGCTATAAGTGATGACCACAGGCATTTGAACAAAATTTTCTTGATGGGTGAGATGGAGCTTGACATCACACACAAAAATACACTCATTTGAAGTGTTGTGCGTCAATAGCATTTTTTGTTCATAATATACCAATTAATTGCCTGAAGGTGTAGTCACATTAGTGAAATTTAACCAAAATTGTAAAATTATCGCTTGTCAATACCGTAGCAATGTAGAAAGCACGGCAGTCACTTTCAATCTTCATGGTGAATTCAAGTGACCAACTTGAAAATGAGCAAAATCTGCGTGGGGAACTTTTTTGCCCTCATGCAAAACTCCCGATCATGACTCGATTTCACCCGCTAAATTTCACAGAGCAACGGTAAATGTGACCGCACCTTTATTGTTGGAAATGTAACCTATTAGTGCAAAGATATGTCACACACACAAACATGTAAACACATGGGTTCACTCACACACACACACCTGCTCTGTTAATCTCTATGATTTCCTCCTGTGCAAGAGGACAGTCTCCTGCCATGCTTCCAGAGACCACCATACTGCCCAGCACATTACCCATGATCCTGTGTGGCGAGGCAGTGGCCATGGCCAGGGCATCTGGCTTGCAGTAGTTGGGCGATCCAGGCTGCGGAGCCCGCGGGATGTGCTTGTTCTTCTTCTTGGGCAGCTTCTGCTTGGCCATTGCCAGAGAGTAGTACATGCCGAAGTTGTTTACAATGACGGGCACAGGCATGGCGATGGTCAGCACGCCCGCCAGGGCGCACAGGGCACCGACTAACATACCAGACCATGTCTCTGGATACATGTCACCATAGCCCAGTGTCGTCATGGTGACCACTGCCCACCAGAAGCCGATGGGGATGTTTTTGAAGGTGGTGTGGGCGCTTGCCGTGGGGTCGGCGGGGTCGGCACCGATGCGCTCGGCGTAGTAGATCATGGTGGCGAAGATGAGCACTCCGAGAGCAAGGAAGATGATGAGGAGCAAGAATTCATTGGTGCTGGCACGGAGCGTGTGACCCAGCACTCTCAGCCCCACGAAATGGCGCGTGAGTTTGAAGATTCGCAGGATTCGGACGAATCGAACCACGCGCAAAAAGCCCAGCACGTCTTTCGCCGCTTTAGAAGAGAGGCCGCTCAGTGCCATCTCCAGGTAAAAGGGCAGGATGGCTACAAAGTCGATGATGTTCAGCGAGCTCTTGAAGAACTCGGCCTTGTCCGGGCAGAAGATGACACGGGCGAACACCTCGATGGTGAACCAGATGACGCATACGCCCTCCACGTAGGTCAGCCAGTTGTCAGTCACTACCTCAAACACAACCTCCTCCCGCGTGACGTTCCCCACCGTCACGTTCTCTGTCTTATTGTAGATGGTGTTGAAGGCCTCGTGTGTCTCCAAGCAAAATGTTGAGATGGAGATGAGGATGAACAGGAGCGAGCCGAACGCCACATACTGAAAACAGAGAGAGGAAGACACAGAGAGAGACAGAAAGACACAAAAAGAGATGAGAAGATGAACACATTAATATTATACAGTGAAATCAGTGAGATCACAATTGGAATAAAGAACAGTTACAGTGCTTAAAGCTGAAGTGCGTCATTTCTGTGGCAGAACTGGAAAAATGATCCCAGTCTGATCTAAAACATCATCAACATCATGACTTTTTTCATCCTTAGCAAACTGCTGTTCTACTGTAGATAAGGAGTCTTCGACAGGGGCTCTGCCAATTATTGTTTTATACCAAACTAAAGTTGTGTCCCAAATTATGTACTATACACTACATATTTTTGGAAGGTTATTTTCTCGTCCAGTGTCAGAGTCTGATAACCCTTCCCTTTCTGCTAAGGAAAGCTGCGACAGTTTTTTTCAGTTAAATAAATGCATTGTCCAGTATTTGAAGTGCATTTTCAGCATGAACACACTACTCACATTACTATCAAATGGCATAGAATAGTACATAAGTTCATAAATTGGGACACTTTTACTTGTTTTTGTAAAAAAAAATGAACATGTTTCAAGCTAAAGCTAACCTTGAGAAGCTGAAATTCGACTAAACATTTCATTCTTCCTCCCACATTAAAATAGACTATGTAAAATTTAAATGTAACAATAATAGTTATTTTAATGGCTTTAAGTACCATAATCTATGTGAATGTATCAACATGATACAACACGTGTTATTATAGACCAGGGTTTAAATGCAACACTCAGTTTAAACTATATGTAACGGAGAGTCCCTGCTCAATACAACAAAGGGTCTTTGGCCTGAAAAAGACTGAATAACCCTTTTCTATATAGTTTTCTAAATCCAATGGCATGCCAGACTTCCCATTCTGTGCTTAACGCTATAAGCTGTTGGAATCAGGTACACAAGCACATGGAAAGACCCTTGAAAATAAAATAGCCTACATGACAGAATAAGCACTGCTGCTGTGATGCAGTTTGGCCCACTGCAGAGGTCCTTCACAATCAGGAGATGTACTACAGATAGAGGGCGCCAAATACTACAACAAAAACAGCAAAAGTGCTCTGAGAATAGTGGGAATGGTGTGAATGCAGCAGTCTCATTGACACGCTGCACTGAGGAAACACCACAGGGGGAGAAGATGGGGTAAAGCAAACTTTGTGAGTAAGACGAAGAGAATGGATGATGGAGGCAGAAAAATGAGAAGAGATGGCATGTATACAAAGACCTGTAATGGAAGGGGGAAAGGGAGAGAAAAAATAAATGTATATTTAGAAATAGAAAGAAAAAAATCTGAAAGCAGAAGGAAATGGAAGAGGGAGGGAGGGGCCAGTGAATTATAGCAGTGTGCGCTGTGCGTGGTCACCATTCTGAAAACAGAGATGTCATGTTGGCTCTCCTGCAGATAGATGTGCATTGATTGGCTAGTGCACGTCTCTTGTTAAAGCCCACAGCCTTTTCTTCTATCACCTGCAATCAATATAATCTGTTTATCTCAGTCCACCTCAGTGCCAGCATCCATAGTATGATTTTTTTATGTAGCCCGTCATTACAGCCATTTATTTGGAAGTGTAGGTGTGTGTGTGTGTGTGTGTGTGTGAAACCGCTGCTGCTGTTATTCCCCCTCTGCAGTGCTCACATTATTCTCCCCACTCCCCGCTCCTCATTTCTCCCCCTCCTCTCTGTCAGTCCACACTTGCCCCTCCTCCCTTTACTGGGGTAACCCATTCCTTTTGCAGAGGAATATCTGTCCACCTTCTTTTCTGGCTCCTCTGCACTGACAGTCCACCTACCCTGTTATCATTTTTTTCTGTGGCTTTTCTGCAAGTTGCCCAGTTACTGGGGTAAACCATTCCTTTTGCAGAGGAATAGCTGTCCACCTCCTTTTCTGCCTCCAGTCTTCTGGCTCCTCTGCACTGACAGTCCACCAACCCTGTTATCTTTTTTTTTTTTTAAAGTCTCTGTGGCTTTTCTGCAAGTTGCCCAGATGTCCCACACATTTCATAAAGACATGGCAGACATTTACACGACAAAAATATTTTTCAAAATCTGTGTTTTTAAATGCAAAAACTAAATGCATTTACATGAGAAGCAAAAAGTTTAACTTGCTCCACCTTTTTGAGTAAATATCACTAAATTTTGTTAAATTTATAATATGGAAATAATATGGGGAAAAAAACTTGCCAAAGGGGTTAGAAAAATAAAAAATAAACTCAATATTTATTCTCTGAAAAGAAGACTATCTTCATCCCCATTTTGTTTGTTAAAGTTTCGATGAAACAGAAGTATGGACAGATTTTTTCTTCCATATTGTGACGTACATCCGAGTGAACCGAATTATGTGAAAAGAAAAAAAAATTAGGGAGGGTACTGGGTTTCATCAGTTGTTGACTGGATTTTGAGAAGGGGCTGTTGTGCTCAAATGAATTAACTATTAGATTTTGATTAAACATTACAAAGTCAAAAAAAAAGAAGAATACAAGAAAAATACATGGATTTGTTCACAATAAAATCTATAATGTGCATTTACAAAACAGTTGAATTTTCATTTTATGTTCTTTTTTTTAACTGTTTTTATTAAACTTTGTATAAACATACCAATTTACACATAGCATAGCATTTTAATATATTAATACACAAATAATAAATAAATAAATAAATAAAAAAAGATAAATAACCATACAAAGGAAAAAAATAAAAAAAATAAAAAAAATAAGAAGGAACCGTTAATAACTTAAACTAAATACAAATAACTACAAAAAGCCCCTGACAACATTTTAAAGGTCAAGCAAATATGTTTCTATTAGTGCCCAGTTCTGTTGGAAAATGTCAGATTTCAACTGTAAATCCGCTGTCATTTTCTCAAATATGATTCAGTCTCTGTGTCCATTCTCTCAGAGTCTCTCAGTATCTTCCTAGCTGCCATTAATAATATATGTAATACAAATAGTTGAGATTTAATTAACTGATCTGGGGGAAACCATCAAGCAGAAAAAATACTGGGTGCATTGGTATGTCACATCCTAAAATTTTACTTATTTCCCTTTTAACCCCCTGCTAATACACTTGTATTTTAGGACATTCCCAAAATATATGAGCATAGTCCCCCACCTTCCCACAATCTCTCCAGCATTGTGATAATTGTAAAGAGCTATCAAATTTGGCCACCACCAATGGAACTCTGAAGAATCTCATTTTCAGCTTCCAGTCAAATTCCTTCCATATTTGACTGCTAATACCCTTATGACAGCTGGCACATATATTTGTCCACATCTCATCCTCTATTATTTCATTTCATGGTCAAAGTTTTTTTTTCAGACTAGATGCACAGACACACCACTTTGTTACCACTTTTCATACCACCTTTCAGCACCCTTTAACAACACAATAACACATGAAGAAAACAGATACAGACAAACACAGTTACTTAAGCATTTGAATTAAGACACCTAAAAAAAACGTTTTAAGGACATCTCTCAAATAGCTGCAGTCAGGTCAATCCTCCCATGACGAACGAGGAGCAGTCAAATGAAGGACTGAGGCATCCTGGGAGAATTAACTAATTCCCCAACCCGATTAGCATGAACTAATTTAACGAACCCATCTTGTCGTGCCCTCAAAATGCTGATGAGGAACCCGTTTGTGTGTCAAGCAGACATGCTACCACGCACAATGTCACCACTACTCCACACGTTCTGCTCCAGATACAAGCGAGCTCCAATCTCTCAACCTCTGATCACAACTGGGATGTTTTGATGGTAAAAATAAGATATCATTCTAATTTGACAAGAAATCAGTTTTCTTTATTATTCTGAAGAGGAAAGAAGGAAAATGTTGCTATATTAAATGCAGCAGAGCATAGTACATCATAAAATGGACAAGATCATCAATGAATCAATTTAACTCTTTTTGAATGCCAACCATTTCTGATTATATATATATCTTCATTTTGCCTACACCTGAATATAGTATCTGTCTTCAAGCCAACCGGTAGTCTCCACTCATTTGCATAAAGTTAAACTACTCTCAACTTTGGCAGACACTCAACACACTCACATCACCAGAGTTCACTGTCACTCAAGTGACTAAAACTGGCCAACTCTTCGTAAATGAATACCTTTCAGATCGCTTTCACACTGCATAACACTGCATGAGTGAACGCTCCTTTATACTTGAAGGACACAAAACCGCAGTGCTTATGCAAGAACAGAATTTACTTTTTCTTGTATCACTGCAGTCTGGCTCCACAGTTGTGGAACAAAGTCTAAGGGCATCACTGTTTAAACGTGGTCACCATTCTGAAAACAGAGATGTCATGTTGGCTCTCCTGCAGATAGATGTGCATTGATTGGCTAGTGCACGTCTCTTGTTAAAGCCCACAGCCTTTTCTTCTATCACCTGCAATCAATATAATCTGTTTATCTCAGTCCACCTCAGTGCCAGCATCCATAGTATGATTTTTTTATGTAGCCCGTCATTACAGCCATTTATTTGGAAGTGTAGGTGTGTGTGTGTGTGTGTGTGTGAAACCGCTGCTGCTGTTATTCCCCCTCTGCAGTGCTCACATTATTCTCCCCACTCCCCGCTCCTCATTTCTCCCCCTCCTCTCTGTCAGTCCACACTTGCCCCTCCTCCCTTTACTGGGGTAAACCATTCCTTTTGCAGAGGAATAGCTGTCCACCTCCTTTTCTGCCTCCAGTCTTCTGGCTCCTCTGCACTGACAGTCCACCAACCCTGTTATCTTTTTTTTTTTTTAAAGTCTCTGTGGCTTTTCTGCAAGTTGCCCAGATGTCCCACACATTTCATAAAGACATGGCAGACATTTACACGACAAAAATATTTTTCAAAATCTGTGTTTTTAAATGCAAAAACTAAATGCATTTACATGAGAAGCAAAAAGTTTAACTTGCTCCACCTTTTTGAGTAAATATCACTAAATTTTGTTAAATTTATAATATGGAAATAATATGGGGAAAAAAACTTGCCA